CTCATTTTCTACATGCAAGCCCAGAGATTGCAGCAAACATTGAAGGCTTAAATCCAAATGAAGAAGAACATAAGACGTATTTGGATGTGGAACCTGTAAGTATATGCAACTTGATTTTGTTAATAGTGGTTTTAAAAATTAAAATGAAAGAAACTCGGTCACTTATTGATCAGATTGATCCTTTATAGAAACTTCTATGTCAATGACTACTACCTTGATTTTTTTTCCTATTTTAAATCAAATAAAAATTGCATGAAAAATTTTGTCAGTGTGTAAACTTTGTAAGTTTTTAATGGTTCACAAGATCAGGAATCCTAATAATGGAAATAATTCTAATTAACTTAAAACAATTTTATATAGTATGTTCTTTTATACTTTAATTTACTAAGGGAGTTCTTCTCATTTTAGATAACTGGATTCACTTTACAATTTGCAAAACGTCTTCAAATCAATATATTGGTCAAGCCAGCAAAAAAAATTGAGTAAGTGTTTTGAATAAAGCTATTATATGAATATTTGTTGCTTTCCTGTAAGAATGTGAGTGAATCTATGAAAGTGAGTGGAAAGATAACAAATGTCAACCTCTGTCTCAATATCACTTTTTATTCACTACATATGATTATGATTTTGAATCATGTTTAGTTTTGATTGAAATTATACTTATACATATCTTAGAACATTAGATAAAATTTCTCATTTTTGCTAATGATTCAAATATTTTATGACCATAATTTCTGTAATTCATATTTAACTCTAGAATATAATTTGTTGAAAGGAAAAATCAAAGCTTGGAAAAAGGTCAATCAAATACATTAGCAATAATAATTAGCATGGCTAAAAAGTCTGAGACACAACTACATTGTTTTTGCATATATTTACTGCCTGGGCAAGTAAAAAACGTTAACATGAATAGAATGTACACAAAGTATATAGGACACCAGCACAAGGGGCCTACACAATTTGTATAAACTAGAAGATGAGTGTATATGCATAACAATACTTTATGTTAAAATTTAAATTTAAAGTCAATAAACTCAGCCAAAGTTTCAAAAGGAATTTATTTATGAATACTTGCTTAAAGTAATTTCTTAAGTCTCTCTATGCTATATATATTAGCATATATTTTCATGAATATTTTAATGTCTATTACAGGACATTAAAGAATCTGAAGAAGAACTATCTTGTGCCTATTCTTTGGCTTAATGAGGTTAGTATTTTAATCTACTAATCATTAAATGAGTAAAAATCTCTAATACTCTTTTTCAAATTAAGATGTACATGAACAGTATATGAAGTTTTTCTGTTACTCATATGTTGAGTACTGATGGATTAATGGTAACATCTATTTGAGAAAATCAAATCACACAGAAACATACAGTTTGTTAGAGTTCAATTTTAGCTTTATCTTTCAAGAAAACAGGCTATTGCCTGTCATTTAAAATTACTTTCAAAATGTATCTTTTAAATATTTACCTTTTTTAATTCCCAGGAAAGAAACATGCATAGAGATAGCTCAAAATAAAAACCAAATTAGTATTATAGCTAAGAAAGTTGATAGTTGAGGAACAATTCAGAAAAGGAGATTGAGAATGATTGCACAACTAAATTATTGATACTATAGAAACTGTTAAATTGGTGTACATCTTTTGTTACTGTTGCTGTGTACTGTCAAGTTGGAACAGACTCCTAGCTGACACATCAGCAGGTTTAGCACAAGAGGAGAATGTCCATTTTGGGGGGAATGTCCATCTTTCTCCCAGTGAGCAGCTGGTGGGTTTGAATTACACACTTCTGTATTTCCAGCACAACTCCTTAGCACTGGGCCACTAGAGCTCCTTTGGGTCTTGCATATATTCTTTTAAAAGCTACAAAAATTGATAAAACAAATTCGGGTTTTTTAAAAATGTACACTCACCCTTCACTTTGTGACATTAAGTTCCAAAAACTAGACCATTGGATAAAAATGGAGAATGGCCACACTGAATTACAGAAGAGGATAACTATATCATTACATAGTAGTCAACTTGCATCCTTTCATAACTGCCAAGCTACTGAAAACTGTAGCTCAGCTAAGTTCACACACAATCTTAACCATCACAATGAACATTACCTCTTGCCTTACACTATTGCAGACATGTATTATTATCAACGTAGTTTTTTACGGTTGTATCATCAAGTCAGAATCAATTCATAGCTAACTCTTGAGAGGATTTTCAGAGGTGGTAAAGTACAGAAGAGGAGATTGTCCATCTTTCTCTTGTGTAGCATCTTATAGATTCAAACCACAGATAGGCCTTTGGGTTGGCAATGCAGCTCCAGTGCAGCCAGTGTTTTTTTTTCACTGTTGCTGAAATGTGAAATGTCACACAAGATAGTTGTAAAGTGAGAAGCAGGTGTAGAGCTAAGAAAACTTGATGAAGTAATTCTGCTCTGTCACAGGGTGTCTCTACATTAGAATTGATTGTTAGTACCTAACAAGTCTACTATGCTTTTAAAGACCAAGTTAGAGAAGGCGTATTTCTAGTGTAAACCCTTGATGAAATTATCAGCAGAATTAAGTTCATTGGACAATCTAGGGCCCAAAGTCTAGTGGTTCAAATCTACCAGCTGCTCTGCAATTACTGCCTCAGAAACCCATTAGAGGATCAGCGATGACTCAGTTCTGATTCAGCGTTACAACAACAACAACAGTCTTGGGAATCTACTCATTTCTTTAATGCAAGGGGAATTCCACTGCTGTTTTATAAATGCAAGTTCTATACATACACACACAGGTGTTGGAAGGAAAGGGTGGTATAAAATGTAATGTTTTTCTTCACTAATAAACCCATATAACCTTACTTATTATTTACAGACTGGTACCATTGGTGAGGAGAAAGCAGAAATGTTCAGAAATCAAGTGACAGGAAAAATAAACCTCCTTGGCCTGGTTGAAATGGTCCTGCTCAGTGTCGGTGTGGTGATGTTTGTGGCTTTTATGATTTCATATTGTGCATGCAGGTCAAAGA